ACTATAACATACAAAAAAATTGGAATAAGCACGCCGGTTATAGAGAGATTTGATTGTATTTACGAGCGAAAGCAAGCCCTTCGTCTTATTCCTTTTGATTTGGGCATGCATACATCATCAATTCATCATTAGATAATTAAGACTCAACTTGAGAGTGACAATATATTGTAGGTGTTACGATCAATTAGTATCCATTTGTACTGTAACTGTTTGATGCCATGCATTGAAGATAAAGTGTTTGACTTTAGGGCATAAGAATATTTTCGCAGATTCAGAAAAATCCCGAATGGACCTAAAGCTTAGACGTTCAACCATAAACCACCAGTTTGATGATTTACATGCACTATTTTCAATGTGCTTATCCACATTTCTTTATTTGTTCAATAAAGTGATGACAAATGAGATTAAACCAGGTGGGAAAATTGCTATGGTGTAGAGAAAGAAAACCCAAGTCGTACACTTCTCTTATTATCTTCCAGCTTCCTCACCATATATAGGAAAAAAGTAAAAGCTAATTTGAAGTTCTAGTAAATGTTTGCGACTTTGCTGTTTCTTGACAGCGACAAGCATTAGTCGAAGAAGTTCGAGGAGTTGAATGTGACTTTAATTATTGACAGCTTACTTTCACATCATGTTATAAGTCAAATCTTTCTATAATACTCTGTTTGTTCCAAAAAAAATTGACTGCTATAATGAAGTAATGTTATAGAGGACATATTATAATTTATAACATAACATAATATTCTATTTCGAGAATAACTCGATTTTTATAGTAAATAACTATTATATATATATGAATATTGTTATAAAAAGGTTTGAGTGTAGTAATTTGATCTCTTACAAGTTACAGGGTTTATAAGCACATAGACATATTGCTAAATGCTAATATGTGGGACCTTAATGTTACTTTTCATTTAATAATACCAGTACTTCTAGAAATGAAAAGTTAGAATAGTTTTAATTAACATGCATTCACGATTCAATAGGTGTAGTGAGATAGCTGCGAGTCCTTCACGCTTAAGTACAAGTCTCAAGTTGGAAATGGAGAGGTTTCTGAGAGTGTTTTACCCCTTCTTTTTAGCGAGCCTACTTGACACAAATTCAAATTAATCAAACTGATGGGTTTTAAATACCGCCTTAGGAAAAAGAGTAAAAATCTTACGGGGTGTCTTATTTGGTCGTCCCACTTAATCTGTATCAATTTTTAAAAAAAAAATTTAACTAGTACTCAAAGTTTAGATAACTTCATGCTTTTTTTCTCCACCTCCTCCCCTTCAAGGTGACGGTGAGTTCATATGATATTATTGAGCATATTTTAAGGTAGTTTTGATGTTTTATTGTGGTGGGCTATTGTGGCACTTTATTTTTTACTACTGCTTAGGGTTTCTTCTTTTTTCTTCTTAATTGCAAAATGAGTTTGTCAGATTTATTGTTGTTTTGACAAATTGATGATTGGGGTTTATTCTTGATGATATTTTGATGTTATGTTTGAAATTTGAACTCATTTGGAGTAGGTGTTAAATCGTGTATTAGATTGTTGAAATTCTAAGAACAAATTCTATTTCTGGACAATTTGCAGTTCAGACCTAACATTGGTTGCACTTCAGACTTATTTGGCCTCAAGGGCATGAAAAGATTGGTTGCACTTCAGACCTATTTGGTCTCAAGTGCATCTAAGCATTTTTATTCAATTGAGACCTATTTGGCCTTAAGTGCATGAAAATATTTGTTGCACTTCATGCCTATTTGGCCTTAAGTGCATCTAAGTGCAATTTTTTTACTTTAGACTTAATTGGCCTTAAGTGCATTGCACTTCAGATTAATTTTTTTTTTTTATTTCAGATCCGATAAGTATAAAGTTGATCCTAAAATAGGTAGATTTGCAAAGTTCTATGCAAAGTGAGTATAAATTAAATTGTGACCCAAAACAGAATATAGATACAAATACCCCCGGAAAACAATAATAGGAGTACCTATAGGACATCATATCAAAAACGATATGGGATGTATTGGATGAGAAATATCTTGCAATAGATTCAGTGAATTGAAATAATTCCAAGCCTCGATCAGAGTATCGATCGACTATATCTATCCCTATTTCAAGTGTAAGAATAATGGTGAATAGAGTATATTAGTAATGTTGGTATTAGTTATGTTTGCATTAGTTATGCTGATATTAGTTATGCTGATATATTTTTTATCTATTGTTTGATTTGATGTATTAAAGTATTGCTCAATTTCTAAAAGAATTGTTTGTTTACAAAAATACCCTCAAAACTAGTCCAGACTCTAACTTTTTAAAAGAAACATATGTTAGAGAAATATTTTTATATGAAAAAGTTTGAAAAAATTATTTTATTTGTCTACCTATGTTGTAAAATAAAATTAAATATTTATTTATAAAAAAAAGAAATATGCTAAGTATTTATTTATTTACTAGGGATATAATTTTATTTCTCACTATTTGGATTATTTTGAACTTACATTAATATACTAACTAGCATATTTTAATCAAGCATAAATTTTAAAGGATAATTTTGTCTTTAACTAAGTTAATGCATGCATTAAAACCCATTGCATTGCTAATACCATTGTTTTCTATGCATTAGTTATGCATAGGATAATACCAAATAGGATGTATAACTAATGTCTGCATAACTAATGCATAAATTTAAAATATCTACCAAATAATATATTATTAATACACAAAGCTACCAAATGACCCCTTAAAGATTGAAGAATCAGTGCTGTATATAATGTTGCTGTTGAGATGGTAGCGCCGTGCCGTGTTGCAGCGTCTCATTTATATATATTCTCTTTGCAAAATCTGTGCAATCTTTCTTGGATCTTATTCTTTTTTGCTCATTTCGAAGAATACGTTATTATGGCGATCGAGAAAACCATTCAGTGCGAGTATGATTCACAAAATCCTGCCGTATTTATTTCTCATTGAAACGAATTGAAGATCAATTTGTCTTGTTGCGCTAGTCAGCACATTAGCTAGGTCCTATTTCGATGACCTTTTTCTTTCTTCCATTAATACTACTTTCCTTCTACGTTCACATCCTAAATGGGAGAAAGCTTCGGAAAGTCTCGCAGTAATAATTCAGATACAAACTTTTGCACCAAAGCACGACAGCAAGAACATTTTAATTAGTGATTCACTAATGAAACTCAATTTTTTTGGAGCCAATGCAGGTTAAATTTGGATCATGAGAAATTTGTATATGGATGTATACATCGCCTCTAGCTCTTTTGTAATGAGGACATCGAAGTTCTGAAAACGGAATGAGTTTTTGGGGCAGAAAGAAATAGACCTAATGATGGAGTAAAGAGTTTGAAATTGCAGAACTTTTAATTTTAAGAACTCATTTGTTAATGTGCTGTATCGAACAAGTGTGCAGTCATATACTTCGGTCCATCATTTGCAGCTCGACATTTCAATGAGCATTCACTTGGACAACAGTGCGACATTCTCCAACAGGATTGGTTTAAGTTTGCATTTCCACAGTCGTAGTTCACACAGAGATACTTTTTTTTTTGGCAAGCTTAACTCTTTCATTTGACCACATTTCCTTTGTAATTGCATAAATTCTCAGCCAAATAATTCTTCTGATTCTCGGTTAATTACCAGTTTCTTCACTCATAACTGATAAGCAGGGACCATATAGATGTTGACACATGTCTCATCCAGCTACATTTGATGGTGACTACCATCTAATGTTCGAAAAATCTGAAGTCAAATAATCTTTCATAGATGAACATGATCACTGAGCATCTGATCTAAAAGCTTTCATATCATAATAAGGGTACATAATTAATAAGTGCAAAGTAAGCATAAAAATAAATTCTCAAACTTGTTCAACGAATATCCTAATTAATTTAAATTGAAGGATAGTAATTGTTGTGACACCTCCTGCTACTACATTGCATTCCTCTCTTAACATAATACATGACCCATAATCCTGAGTACACAGTAATCATAACCAGTGTTTATGGCCGAACCAGAGTGCCTTTCCTCTCGGGCAATAAAACAAGTTTACAAACAGTAACATAAATAACTATCATGGTTCATGTGTATAGGCAGTTGAATGGATTATCTGTTAAGAAAATGAATCTTGGACGATTGTAAGATCATACAAGGGAAAACAGATTATGCTATCAACCTATATAAGACACTTTAGTCTTAAGTTCTCTTTTAAGCCTAACTAGAAGATATTCACGGTTCTGATGGTTATTCGAAATTGATTCTTGTTTAGGGGTAGCATACTTTTAGCCAGAATTTATTTATCTCAGTACAAAATAATTTGGTTGGGCAAGATTTTCGTGCACCATGAGAACAGAAAATATTCTCTTAGTTGAAGCCTCACACATCAATATCATAGCCAACCATCTAAAATCTAACTCTGAGGTGTATAAAGCATCACATGCGTGGCCTCACACTTTTCACTAGTATACTGTACTCGATTAGTTCTATAGTCAAAAGAAAAAACAAATATACTGAAGATTCCTCAGAAACAAATTACTTAATTGCTATCGGTTAAAACAAATCCATCACTCTATTGCGATCAATATCTGTTCGACCATCGTCACTCTATATTTCTGTGATGGTTAGAACATGCTCATTTTTGCGATACCATTACGAGGATATTATTTTGTGAAGTTACTCGGTTAGCATATTATAAGATCTATATTATGTATTTTACATGCCTTTTACTAACTACTATGAAACCAAATATGAAAGACAATTAATTCTGCTTGAATGAGCCTTGATAAACACCATTTCTTCTTGTCTTATCTCGAAAGTATGATCCAAAGACAAAAAAGAAAAAACTAAAACGGAAAAATAACAAATTTATGAGAACACAACGAAAAACGTTGCTCTAAAATAAGAGGAACGCAGAAACAGGTAAAGAAAAGAAAACACTCAGCTATTGGTGAGAGCTTTGTCTTGTTTCAAACGATAGGTCTCCTTCAGATGGCATATTCATGGATATGGTAAATGTGGTCCAATATTTTCCTTCTTCCTTGGATATGTTTGAATCTATAATATGGCATATCAGATATAATAATAACCCCTCTTACCCAACATTTATTTCCTATATATCTTCGTCTCTATCCCTCTTCTTTCTATATATATAGGGACAACTCTTTCTCAACCCTTGTCACTAGTCAAATAAAAAGAAATAAATACTTATAGTATAAGAGCAAAGCAGAACACAGAAGTTCTCCATTTAGATGGAGAATAATATTGCTTGTTCCATTATTTACTTCCTTCTCTTTCTTCTCACAGCTCTACTAATTTATATTTCAAAGAAACAAATATGGAAAAACATACAAAAAGCAAAGCTGCCTCCTGGTTCGATGGGCTGTCCGTATATAGGGGAAACTCTCCAACTCTACTCTCAAGACCCAAATGTCTTCTTTGCTAACAAACAAAAAAGGTTTAATTTTTCCTCAGAGAAAATATATTCAGTTTAATTATTTAAAAAAACTTACTTATAAACCATTTACTCATTCTTTATCAAATGTTTGTTTGCAGGTATGGTAATATATTCAAAACGCACATTCTTGGGTACCCTTGTGTTATGCTTGCTAGTCCTGAAGCTGCCAGATTCGTGCTTGTAACTAATGCTCACTTGTTCAAACCAACTTACCCCAAGAGCAAAGAGAAGTTGATTGGCCATTCTGCTTTGTTCTTTCACCAAGGAAACTACCATTCTCAACTAAGGAAACTAATTCAGAGCTCGTTATCTCCTGAAGCTATTCGTAAACTAGTTCGCGATATTGAGGTCTTGGCCATTTCTTCCTTGGAATCATGGTCGCAAAATAACCAAGTCATCAATACATTCCGTCTGTTGAAGAAGGTCCTTTACTGATAACTTGTGCTACTTCTTGAATTGTGTGACCATATAATCTAAAAGTTTAAGGTTTCAGATATATATAGCAAACACACTTTCTGTTTATTTAAGTATTACCTTCAAGACTACTTTGATCGCCTAGAATTTTCCACCACAATATAATGATCAATAGATCATTCTCACACGTGAATCTCATGGAAATATATACTACAGTTCTCCTTTGAAGTTGGCATTCTTACTATATTTGGTCAGCTGGATGCTAAGTATAAAGAGGAGCTTAACAAGAACTATTCAATAGTAGAGAAGGGCTATAATTCTTTCCCTACGAACTTGCGGGGGACTGCTTATTACAAAGCTANCTCCCCCTCTCCCGGGGGAGAGGGCCGATAGTTTTATGCTGAACTGTATATTCTATTATTGTCAAAGGCGAGGAGGAAGCTTAATCAGATACTTAGCGAAATAATCAGTGAAAGGAAGGAGAAAAAAACAGTAGAGAAAGATCTGTTGGGTCATTTATTGAATTTCAAAGACAAGAAAGGGCAGACTTTAACTGAAGATCAAATTGCCGATAATGTCATCGGAGTACTCTTTGCTGCCCAGGACACAACAGCTAGTGCTTTGACATGGATTCTCAAGTACCTCTACGACGACCAGAAACTTTTAGAAGCCGTTAAGGTATTGGCTGTATATTCCTTTTGGTTCCTAGCTTGTTTGTTTCTTTCCATTGAGTTAAAGAGTTAAACACAGTGAAAGAATTTATACACTATTAAATCACACCAAAAACTAACCAAGTAACCATTTAAAATAAGTGAAACTAGTTAATCGGCTAGAAATAGTGTAAAAATTAAGTGGAACTAGTTATCCCTGCTACTACATGCTAAAATGCACTGATAGTTGGGGGAAAAAATTACATTATCAATGTATATATGGTAAATCCCTTTCTATTTCCCATCTCCATTCGTACTTCTCACATGTTTCATTGCAAGCCCAGCAAGTGATCTTGAATCCCAAGTTTAAAATAAACCTTTTCCCTTTCAAGTGCAGGCAGAACAAAGAGCAATTTACGAATCAAATGAAGAAGGAAAGAAGCCGTTGGCATGGGCTCAAACAAGAAATATGTCACTAACTTACAGGGTAATCTTTTCTTCTTATAATTAGTTGTAATTATATAAAAGAAAACCCCTCTCATCAGCTAGAAAAACTTCTATTGCAGGTCATTTTAGAGAGCTTAAGGATGTCCAGCATTATATCTTTCACCTTTAGAGAAGCTGTGGTTGATGTAGAATACAACGGTAAGGCGGTAGTTTTCAATCATATGTTTTATATATATATGTACACACACACAAGACACACATTAATAAACTCAGAGCTCCCTTAGGAATGCTCTATTATCTATTCCACATGGACTCGACTACCACATATCAAACAGAGGCGTATCCAGTGTAGAAGGTTCAACTGAACTCATAGCTTTTGCTCATACCCTGTATTTTTATCCTAAATATGTACAAATAATAAATTTTGAATTCATTAAATTAGATGAGATGTGGTAGAATTGCAAATCTGAACCCATAAAATTTAAATCATGGATTCGCCCTTAGTATCACAGGTCAGTGTGAGTATTTAGTATAGATACCTTAATAGTTTCTTTACTACTCCCGTCGGTCATTTTATATGATTATTTGACTGGACACGAAGTTCAAAATTTTGTTGACATATAAGCTAAATATATGTAACATACCAAAAGTACTGTTAGTATTTATCTAGTGGTTTTGCAAATGTAATGCCATTCCTATAAATGTATTTTGTTAGGAATATCCGGGAATGTTAAAGTAAATAATTTTCAAATAGAGAACAATGACAATTTTCTTTATAGCGAACTAAAAAGGAAAGAATGTTATTCCGCACAAAATCACATGTCACACTCATTGGACACAAGTACATCAAGACAAATTGAGAAATGTTTAAATCATAGTTGATTATACCTTTAATTCATCCGTAAGACACATTACTTCGTTCAACATGAGTAGTAAAAATATTTTTGATGCAGGTTACCTGATTCCAAAAGGTTGGAAAGTCATGCCATTATTCAGAAACATTCATCACAATCCAGAATTTTTTGCCGACCCACGGAATTTTGATGCTTCCAGATTTGAGGTATGTGGTGATCGAGTACTAGCAAAGTGCTTTTCAATTCTCCACCGGTCTAGAACATTAAAATATGAAAAAATTGGTTTACCCCAACTTTTTTTTTTATGTGCTGACGGATGGATGCAGGTTGCTCCCAAACCCAATACCTATATGCCATTTGGCAATGGTGCCCATGCTTGTCCCGGAAATGAACTTGCCAAACTGGAGATGCTGATTCTCATTCATCATTTGGTTACCAAATTTAGGTACGATAATGACATCATATTTTCTTCTAGATTCATAACTCTATTATTTTGAGACCACGATTTTTAAATTTTTAGCAAAATTCAGTGTATAATATAATAGTAATAGTTAACAACAACTACAATAATAAAAGAAAATGCATATCCAAAAGTTTGAGCCAGCAGGTAGGGAATACCATAGCATCACTACTTGTCTATAATAATGGGTACAGAATATATATATATATATATATATATATATATATATTCTTTCTTTTAAAAGTTATTTATTCAATCAGGGGTGATGTGGAGTGTAGCAGAAATACATCCACCCGGCTACCAACCACATAATTCTTTTTTTTTTTTTTTTTTTTGAGTTGAAACCAACCACATAATTCTCACAAAAATCTAGTTAAAAAAGAATGAGTTTAAAGAAATTTCAGCTCCCATTATATTTATGTGATGCCACGAGATTCTTTAAAATTTCTATTTCACCCGCAAGACCTCCGACATAATTCTTTTTTTCCTCCACATGTAGCTATGAGAACAGCATTAAATATCTAGGTATTCTAATTTTATTTGAGATTTCTCATGAGTTCAATTATTGCAGGTGGGAAGTCGTAGCTTCCAGAGAAGCGGTACAATATAGCCCATTCCCCATACCTGAGCATGGACTTCCATCTAGGTTCTGGAAGGAAACAAGAAGCCAAACAGATCCCTGGAAAACAGATGCCTCCTGATAAAACTAATACTAGCAACAACAACAAAAAGCAGAAAGCAGAAGATACTTCTGAACTTAGTTTCCAGTTTCTAGTGATACTCATCCCTGTAATTTTTTTCTTTCCTGGGATCTATTTTGTTGTCTTTCACGAAATTGTATTATATAATTACGGAGTAGTAGGATCTATTTTATTCTCTTCCAAGAAATTGTATTATATAATTACGGAGTAGTATGTAAAGTCAATCACATTTGCTAACAAAGAAAACCATATCTTTTCTTCTTCCGGCTCAATTGTAACATAATGTACTCCAGGATTATTCCTAGCTCTGTATAATAACAATTATTATATTATCAGTCCCAAACAAGTTGAGGTTGGTTATATGAATCCTTACTAACCATGTTTCTCCATTTAAATTCATCCCAAGCCAACATTAGGCAAAACAAAATAAAAGTAAGAAGTTCTTTATATCTTATACTAGCATAATATTTGATAGAGCTAAAAGACTCCTAGAAAGCATATGATCTAAAATAAACATACTAACACGACTATGTTAGTATCGCCTATACACATCTTTTTCTTACACGGTGCTATCTTTTGCTAAGTCGGCATGGATTCCTAGCTCTATATATTCCAATTTGGTGAAAGATATGATTCATATAAGTTGGAAAAGTACCACCATAGTGGAAGGTTACCAGTCAAGAAATGATGCTGAATGGAACGTTTCTGTGTGCATGGCATTAATTGGAGCACGTGTATTTTGCTTCACGTGGAAGTCCACATCACTGGCCTCAGAAGATCCAAGTGTCCCAGCTACTTGAGTGCCTGCAGAAAAGGAAATGTCTTGATCTAATGGGAAATACCCAAGAGTGGAAATTAGCACTTATGGCATAGGATGAAGGGTCCCATTAGACATGTCACTACAAAAATAGCCATCATTTGTATAGTGATCCTGAAGCTATAATGGTCCGGTCGGCTACACTCCTGGGATCTTTGTAGACTTAATGGAAACACTTACTATGAGGAAGTAACAAATGGAGGTCTCATAGACATTTAGAGCAAAGAACTACGTTGCTTTCTAGCCCACTCACTCTTAGTCTGGAATGTTCCAACAGGAATGCACCTCAACGATAGATCTGGATGGTTCTGACCTGTATATACATACCAAAATCAACTAATAAAAACAAAAGGTAACACCAATTAGAACCACAACAGCCCTAAATGATCAGTTAAAGAAATAGAATGCAAAGGCATCACAAACATTACGTGAATAAAAAATGTCCAACATATGCAATATATCACATGTGATAGCAACATGAAAGCTACAAAGAATTTTGAGTAAATCAGGATGTGCGATTTTCTCATTTCAGTGGATTTTTTTATGAATCTAGCGACAGCAGATTGCATATCTGAAGTAAATGAAGTTCTTCACATGGGAATAAACTTCACCTTGGAAAGACTGAACTTCGAAGGCACAGCTTCAATCAGCTTGATTTATCAACCTTAGTAACCTCAAGGGTAGGGGAAAATGGCTCATCAAGTTACCCTCAAGAAAAATATGTACTATAATATTAGTCGTAGCAGAGATAAAACTCAGAAAGTGGACCAAGATTGTGCCCTTCCCAGTGGACGAGGTCGGCTTGCAGGTGGGTGGGTGGGGGCTTGTGTGGAGGTATCAAAATTGCAACCATCAGGTTGGACGTTATTTCTTAATCTCTCTGCTTTCTGAAACCAGGGTGAAGGCACATATGTCGACAGAGCGACCTTTGCAACTTCAACTGGTGCTCTGCCGCTCTTTACTAAATTAGAAAGATGGTCTTAATTATGTGAGGGCAAAACGACTAATAAGAGATCACTAGCTTTCTGATCGAAGAAACATAAGGGGCAAGGTTGATGAGTCATTGGGTTGGTGCGGCAACATATAAGAAATGAGAACCCACCTAATTCCCATAAAAATCGCCAACATAAACAAAAATAAAAGCTTAATCCCGTAAACAAAGTGAATCACTTATACTTTTGGATATCAGATATATGACAAATGGTTTTTTGGTCCCTCACATCTAGTGATTAGGACATTGTTTTCCCAAGTCGAATATATTTTACATTTTTGCGAAGGTGAGATAAGAATTAATGGCAACAGTTTCCATCAAAATTATTTAAAGGAGGAGACTACGTTTTCCTGGATTGGAAGGTTTGAGTTTTACAGATTCATCTAACAGATCATGCAGTTGAGTTCATACATCTTCTTAAATACCATTTACTTACTATAGATCAGGCTTCTATCAAGAAACATTAGGATTAAAAGTTTTATTTGGAGGGGCATCTTAGTATGTGATTCAAAAAAACACTATTTAGTTTACAGCTCTGTGATACAACTGTTATCAGCCTACCCAAAACAACAGTTTTAAAATTTCAATGGACTAAATGCATCCTTGTATCTCCAATATTTTGTTTTGCATTACCATCAGAATATTTTTTGCAAAACCAATAGTTATCCACAAGAGACTTCATGAAAAACTCACTCGTAACTCCATCAATCGGTGACAAACTGCTACTGCTGACAAACTGCTACTGCAATTACACAGTTTGCAGCATAAAGTTTAGGAACTTCCTAGCAACAAGTAAAGCACATATGTCTTGCAAGAAAAGGATCAAACAGGACAAGTCATAGTTTTTCATATCGACTAGGCAGTCATTTCATGAGGATGATGCTCACTATCTCTAACAAACGACTAGGACAAGAAAATCACCTACAAACTGCTCAAAAATTCAAAAACAGAAAGCAAACCACAATTTGTATAATCTCATCATGGGTACATGCTTGCTACAGCGATTGCAAGCTCTATGCTTCAAAGATTCCACTAGAAGATTGACGCTTCAAGCACCAAAGGTAAAAATCGAGAAACTAAGGAACTGACCAAGCATGAGCTTTCACTAGCTTGACTCACCAAAAACGTTAAACATTTGCAACCATTGATCATTGGTTCTGAATGTTCATTCAGGGAAGTAACCAATACAGGATCCTCGTAACAATTTGTTGTACATGTTAGGATTAATGGCCTAGTGCTTTGGATGCTGCATATGTTGACCATGTACAGAGATTGAATTTTGCAGTGTAGTAAATATGGCCGGCTTATTGAGCAATCTGAGTTAAGCACACAGAATGTGAAAGACACTTGTTCAAGTTGTTCTCCCAAAAGCTATAGACACTTGATTATTGAGATCCTATGCGAAGGAAATATAACCAGTCCATTGCACTACTACTGATTCCGAGAAGTAGAAAGTGAATAAAATTCAAGTTAAGGTTCTCCCACAGTACTACGGAATTCATATGGAACCAGAAAGTCAAGGGCATCAAACAAAAGGCTCCTCCTAAAAGATACAGATAAATAGAAGGCAGAAAGTTGCTGAATTTACTAGTATAAATCTCCCATTAGTATCTGTGCGACTACTGAAAAATTAGCTAGCCGTTCTAATCCAACTTAACATATCTATTTTAGCATCAAACACATTCAATGCAGAAGCACACAAAAGGTAGGTTCCAAGCTAAAGGCTCAATTATCATCTTAGATGTCCTAAATTAACCCCTCCTCCAATCCCTATCTCAAAAAAAGAGATTGTCACTTCCCAAGGAGCTAAGAAACACTTGGATGATATCCACATCAAACACGTATTATTCACTTGAACAGGCTTAATAAAATAAGCACAACTCTGTTAATTCATCATACCTCACTTATCATTTCCTGGAGCTCTAAGTTAACAAGACTCTGTGGCTTGCAAGAACGCACGGGTTCAACAATTGGTTCAGGGGTACAGGTTGTAGTATATAATACGTGAAAACAGGGGTATGGCCAGACATCAGAGGGACCTTCGTCAATTGAGACGACTCTAGGAGATTCCCCTCAACAATATTTTGGACCTCCATGGCAAAGGCATCACTTAATAAAGGATGGTACATGATAAACAAAATAAGGTAACAATTTACACAATCTCACAAATCACTCATCATTCCCATAAAAGTTCTTCTAAGGGATATATCATCATACTTCATATTCTTATCAAGTAGCATATAGCACCTGTACTTACCCAAGCAGGATATGACTTTAACAATGAAGGTTATTACTTCATCATTTCCTTTATTTTTCTTCTATACTTCCTTTCCATTTATATTATAATTTTCATAAGTTCCTTGACTGGTTACTCCTCATTTGTCTAACCTACTTCGGATACTCCAAAAATGTATAATTTTTGGAGGATCAGACCCACAACCAGACGACATTTTTGAAGAATTCGAGCAATATAATCATAGTTTCACGGGTTACTAACACAACTACATAAATTACTAAACAATTAAGCCTCGTCATCAATCAATCTGTCCATGAACCAAAAGCCCAACATAAATATCACCATGCATGTGGGAAGAAAATACATAGACGTCCTTATTGCTCGATTTCAAGCTAAAATTCAATGAAACGTGAAACAAACTAAAACATATATTTCAAATTTTCATGAAACGTTATGTATTGTTGAGATTATACAGAAAATTCGACATTGATGAAGATCGAAATGTGTGAAAGAATACAAGTCAGGGAAAACCTGTCAACGATGAAGCAAATCCTATCGATCGATCATCCAGACTCCAAATTTAAGCAGGTTATCAACATTCATCCAAGCATATATAATATATCCTTCACTGGAAGTGCAAGATCAAAGAAAAGGCTTCAGTGCAAGATCAAAGAAAAGGCGAGTATAGGTCGATCTCATTGTTGACCTAATTCCTAGAGAAGCGTACGAGTGACGGGCAACTTTTAGAGGGAATGCAAACTGAAAGCAAATATATTGTAGCTTTTTCCGAAGGGATTATAAGTCGCATAAAATTTATGCGATGTACAATTCTGTTTGCTTTTCTACTTTTCCTTTTTTCGTAATTTTCCTGTCTATGATTGCTTCTTGAGTTCTTGGTTCAAGAGGTTCTTTGATTGGTTGAACTAGCAAAATAAATCTAACATGAAATTTGGCAAAAAAATCATACCATCTTTGATTGGATAAAAAAATAACTTTTTGTATAACTATTAATGCATTAGTTGGTTAATTTGCGGCATCTTTGGTTAATGTATTACTTATGTAGTTATGTATGAATCCATGTATGCTTTTACCGGCCGACATATACGTAAATAAGAATTAATATATGCGCGCACGCGCACATATGTATTACGTGGAATCGTGGATTAAAATACTTAAAAATAAAAATATCTTAAAGTGAAAATTCTCACATAACACTTATGATATGTTACATTAATCACCGCATAACAATTCGTGTATTATTATCTACTGCATGATAATACTTATATTGTTATTTACTACTCTTACAAGAATAATAATCTTTGTATTATAATTGCCACGTGATTAGTTCAAGAACCAAACAACTCCTAAAAGTATGTGCTCTCTCCCAATATTTTTATATACTATATACTATTATTACTTTGTGATGTATTTTCTTTTTCTTATGTTAGATGCCTTTCTATGTAAACATTATTGCTTTATATTTATTTATTTATTGTAAAATTTTAAGGGAACCCGAAGCTGCTATCCTTCGGGTGCGCACTGGATAACCTGATCACTGTGCAATAGCTCACAAACCACATGAAAGATATAAACCGCACTAGCCATGCCCGGAGCAACGAGCTCTGACTAAGGAGACTGCTAGTGAGGGGAATTACAAGTCTCTCATGTGAGAAATCACTCACTCAACTAACTCAACCAATCCTTGCGTGTGAAATAAAGTAGCACGTATCATACAATAATTGCTTTTGCCATTTGACGTATTTACCAAATCATGATTGAAACAAATGTTAGATAAATCTCAATCTCAATCTCAATTCAATAATAAATATTTACAACTAAAAGAACTGAATTCTCTTGATCCGATCTGCTAACACCAATTTGGTATTATGTATTCCTGCTCTAACACCTAATACCATGTCGAAAAAAAAAAATTAAATTTTTGGGGGTTTTCAGAAGAGCATATATTGCACTTAAGACTTGTAACAACATGCAATTTTTCAGTGAAGCTTCAAAGCAAATGTTTGTCACCTACCAAGTAACCAATAGGGGCGGAGGCTACGCTCGACGAACCCAATAGCTCTGATTCAAACTCTATATTTATCTTGAAAAATTCATTAATTAGTTATAAATCAATAATATAGAACTCAATAACTTAAAAGGCCTAGAAAACCGTACCCATAAACTTGAAATTCTAGTGCCGCCTCTGGTGACCAATACACGAGGTTGGCAGAAGTCCATAGTATTTAGTCGCTATTCCTTTTTTGGGGGGGAAATTTCATATTAAAACAATTGGGTTGTCTCCTTTTCAACTTTATAGCACATATTTCAATTTACAATTGAGTAGCCCAAAAATAAGAGGCCCATATCCGAAAAAAGGGCGTTATTTCCGTTTTTTGGGAGTCAGAAGCGGGATTTTGTATCTTTCAGCGGGATTTTCTCTCATTCTTTCCATTTTTCTTCCCCAAATCTACAAAAACGAGTTCTTGCGATCAATGCAGCTCCAAAAACCCTAGAAATTCTTCTTCATCTCGAATTAACAGCAAATCAAACACGAAAAGTGAATTTTTTTTTGCTACAAATCAGCGCAATTTTCATTTTTTCTGCAATTTTGATTTCAACTTTTTGGTCGATGGAGCTTTTTCCAGTTTACGTTCTTCATAGTGGTGAATGGAAAGAAAACAAGTTTATCAATTTCATCAGCGATTGTGTAATAATCGAGTCGACATTCAGCTACAACAATTTAGTTGCAGCTATTTCGGAACAGATTAGGATCGATAGTGAGTAAACACAATAGAGATTAACTTTCTCCCAAATGATGGTTTGCCACCGATCCTTATTTACAACGATACAGGTGTTAAGGTGTATATCGAATTAAAGAAGAAAAACTTGAATTTCACTGAATACCCCTTGTTTGTAACAGTGAAAGAAATTTATGATAATCGTTTGGTTGCTACAAGTTCCAGTTATTTGGTTGCTACAAGTTCCAATTCTATAGATGTATCCACAATTGATAGAACTGAGATTATGCCTAATATCAAATTGATTGAAAACACGAAACTTAGTGAAAATACGGGTATAATAGATAATATGTTGAATGAAGTTGTTGAGGAGGATCAAGTTTATAAAGATAAAGAGACAGTTATGAATGTGATGAAGAACTTGGTTGTACGCGAGAGGTTCCAATTCAAGGTGAAGAGATCAAGCGCAACAAAGTATGTCAATAATTGTATATTCTGTTATATATATGTATAAATATGTATAAAGTAGTATATATTTGTATATAGGTATTAAAATTAGTATATATCTAGTTATGTTTTTGTATACAAGTGTATTTAGAAGTTGAATGATCTTTAATCCTAGGTATCACCTTATGTGTATGGATGACAATTGTGCTTGGAGTTTCAAATCTTCTGCCGTTTTCAAGGCAAACATATTTAAAGTGAGAAGCTACAATAATAATCACACATGCGGCTATGGTGAAAGATACTTAACACAACGTCAAGCTACTTTGGGTGTAATTGCTAGTATAGTCAAGGACAAGTATGTTAATCCAAGAAAAGTTTACACCGGAAATGATATAATAGAGGACATACAAAAGCAACACGGGATTGAAGTGAGCTACATGAAAGCACGGAGAGCTAAAGAGATAGCAATGACAATGATAAGAGGGAGTCCGAGTGATTCATATAAGGAGTTGCCGAAGTATTTTTATATGTTGGAGCATACAAATCCAGGAACGGTTACAAAGTTGCACAAATCAGAAGATGGATGCTTTCTTTATACATATGTTTCACTATATGCATTTATCAAGGGTTGGGAGCATTGCAGACCGATAATGGTTGTTGACGGAAGTTTCCTTAAAGCAGCATATAAGGGTACCATATTGACTGCTTGCATACAGGATGGAGCTGGTGAGTTGACTGCATCTACCTTGTTTCTGCAGATTGTATAATGTTGTAGTTTCATGTATAAAAGTGTATATGATTTCACAACTGTTGTTTTTATAAAATTTGCAGTTTGTATAAAGTTGTATAACTGTGTATAAGATTTGTATAATTGTCTGAATCCTACTATCTATTTTGTATAAACAGGAAAAATCCTTCCACTTGCATATGCAATTGTAGATTCGGAGAATAACAAATCTTGGGAGTGGTTCTTTGTCTAGATAAAGTGTGATAACCCTATGTGTTCTGAGGCCTTAAAAAACCTCATTTAGAGTCACCTCGATTTGCGTGCGCAGTCCGGGCGCGTAGCCGGAAAGCTTAAATATGAAATTCTGTGAAAATGATAAAATTTGGTTATAAAATGAGTTAATTTGGCTTCGATCAACGTTTTGGGTAAACAGACCCGGACCCGTAATTTGACGGTCCCGAAAGGTCCGTAGAAAATTATGGGACTTGGGCGTATGCCCGAAATCGAATTTCGAGGTCTCAAGCGCGAGAAATGAATTTTTAAAGAAAATTATTTTCTGAAATTGTTCAAGAAAATTTGAAATGAAATTTGATTAGAACATAATGATATCGGGCACGTATTTTGGTTTCGGTGCCAGGTACAGGTCTTATATATGATTTAAGACGTTTCTGTGGAATTTGGTGAAAATGGATTTCATTTGACGTGATTGAGACTTAAATTGCAAAAATTGATGTTTAAAGAAGTTTTGAGAAAATTTCATTGATCTTTAGATTTAATTTGATGTTCATAATGTTATTTTGATGATTTGATTACACGAATAAATCCATATGATATTTTTGAGTTAGTGTGCATACTTGGTTTGATGTTCCGAGGGCTCGGGTGAGTTTCGGGTAGGTTTCGGGATGTCTTAGGCTTAAAAACATAGGTGTTGCAGGTTCAGAGAGGTGGAAGGCCTCTGAACCGACCAGTGCGGTCCGCACCAAAAGGAATGCTGTCGTAGAGGGGCTTGTGCAGTCGCACTGGATTTTGTGCGGACCGCGGTGAGGGCCTGTGCGGCCGTACTAGATTTGGTGCGGTCCGCGGTGAAGAACACTTCACTGGTTTGACTTCGGAAGCCTATATCTTTTGATCCATATGGAATTTTGAGATGATTTAAAAACAAAAGTTGTAGCCCTTCGTGTCTAGTTTCCAGAAAGGTAAATAAATCACAATTTGGACATCTGTAGAGAAAGTTAAATACTAAGACCTATCACTGCAGAACACAAGAAGGCCTGTGCGACCGCGATTGATTTTGAGTGGTCCGCACAGGGCATCTGAGGGCAGTATATTTAGACGGGATTTTCAGCTATTTTTCATTTTTTAAGGTCCAAAAACATAAGAGGCGATTTTTCAAACAACCTTTCTTCTCCAAATCAATTGTAAGTCGTTTTTAACTAGTTTTCTTCAATCATTAACATCTTTTAACATGATTTCAACTTCAAATCAATTATTTTCATGAGGGAAATTGGGTGTTTTGGGTAGAACCTAGGTTTTCCAAAATTTGGGGATTTGGACATTGATTTGAGGTCTGATTTCAAAACAAATTATATATTTGATTTCGTGGGGGAATGGGTGATCGGGTTTTGGTTCGAACCTCGGGTTTTGACCATGTGGGCCCAAGGGCGATTTTGACTTTTGGGTAAAACTTTGAAAAATCCATTTTCATGCATTCAAATTGATTCATTTAGCATTTATTAATATAATTAAGTAACGTGTAGCTAGATATGAGCGAGTTGGTGGTGGAATCAAGAGGTAAAGCGGTAGTTGAGACTTGAATTGCATTCGTGACATCGAGGTAATTGTCCGGTCTAACCTTAGCTTGAGGGATTAAGAGTTGAGTCCTATTTTCTATTTGCTTCTTGTTGAGTACGACGTATAGGCATGGTGACGAGTATCTATACGTTGGTGTCAAGCATGACTGTGAGTGTTAAATTGATACTTGTTGTATTCTTGAATGTTACTATGGTTGAAATAGTGAGTAAATCCTTGATATTTAGCAAAGACTTAGTTTGTTTATCGTGGAATCTACTTATGATTGAGAAATGGTGGTAATTGAGACGAGTAGGAGTTGAGTTAAGATTGGTTATAGCTGATTCCCCCTTTCCGGGACGTATATACTTGTACTGCTGAGTTCCCTTGCCGGGATAGTGTAGTCTATTGTTGATCCCTCACCGGGACGGTTAATTATGATTATTGTTGACTGTATAGTTGGAACGGGTTGCGCGCCGCAATAGATATTATATTGGATCGGGTTGTACGCTACAACAGATATTATATTGGATCGGGTTGCACGCCGCAACACTATTAAATGATAAAAGATCGGGTTGCATGCCGCAACAGTATTGTTATTGTATTGTTGTAGATATTGAGTTGTCCTTTCATATTTTATTAAGTTTCTGTTGGTCTTGATATGTTTCCTCGAAGCATGTACCCCCTCCCATTTTAAACTGCTTATTCCTGTTTATTTTCTGCCATATATTATATAACTACACAGGTTTATCTGGAGTCTGGTCCTAGCCTCGTCACTACCTCACCGGGGTTAGGCCAGGCACTTACCAGCACATGGGGTCGGTTGTGCTGATACTACACTCTGCACTCTGTGCAAATATTGGAGCGGCACTTAATCAGCAGCTGTAGGGGAGCCAGCCTTCAGTCCACCGAGACACCGAGGTAGCCTTGCAGGCGTCCGCAAGCCCGGCATCTCCTCTATCTTTTATTATGTTCTGTTATTTCATGTATCCGAGACAAACAGTGTTATTTTTCCTTCAAACTATTGTATGTAGTACTCTTAGTAGTCCGTGGATATTGTGACATCAATTTCTGGGTAGAGGCATGTGTTGACTTTCGAAACATTTTGGTTTTATATTTATTTAAGACTTTGCTTAAATCTCATATTTCGCTGCCATTTAGATGTTTATCACTTGTTAATATAAGTTGTAAAAAGGATTAAAACAGAAGAGTTAAAGATTTCTAAGTTCGTGGCTTGTCTAGCTTCTACGAGTAGGCGCTATTACGACTCCCGAGGGTGGGAATTCCGGGTCGTGACAAGTTGGTATCAAAGCTTTAGGTTACATAGGTCTCATAATTCACGTACAAGCTTAGTAGAGTCTGAGGGATCGATACAGAGACGTCTGTATTTATCTCTCAGAGGCTACAGAGTTAGGAAAAACTTCACATTTGTTCTTTCATGTCGTGCGGTTCTGTTTCTCAATGCTAATTGAATTTCTACTCTGTTCTTTCGCAGATGGCGAGAACACGCGCTTCCTCATCTATCGCTCAGCAGCCCGAGCCCCCAACAGTAGCTCCCACGAGGGGCAGAGGGCGAGGCCGAGGTCGTGCCAGAGGCCAAGGTAGGGGTAGAGCTCAGTCCCGAGCAGCAGCCCCAGTAGCGGAGCCTTAGGTTGACTTTGATGATGAGGTTCCGTCCCCAGCAGCTCCGGTGGGCCTAGCTCAGGTCCCAGAGGGGGTTATTACTACCCCAGTCCTTCAGGATGCTCTTGCCGATTAGTGGAACTCATGGAGAGTGTCACCCGAGCGGGCTTGCTTCATGTAGCACCAACCATCTCTCAGGCTGGAGGAGGGCCCCAAACTCCTACTACTCGCACTCCGGAGCAGGTAGCACCTCAGATTCAGACTCCAGCGGTTCAGCCGGGTATGGTATCTCAGACCGGTGATGGAGCGGCTATGTCTGCCGATGCTTTGTGGAGGCTGGATCTGTTCACCAAGCTCTTCACTTCCACTTTCAGCGGTGCATCTACTGAGGATCCCTAGGATTATCTAGACAGATGCCACGAGGTTCTCAGGAACATGGGTATTGTTGAGACCAATGGGGTTGATTTTGCTACATTTCGCTTGTCTGGATCCGCCAAGACTTGGTGAAGGGATTATTGCTTAGCTAGACCAGCTGGATCGCCAGCCTTGACTTGGGAGCAGTTCACACAGCTATTTCTGGAGAAGTTTCTCCCCAGCAGGGTTCCATGATGTTTACCCAGTATGAGACCAGGTTCATCAACTTAGCTCGCCATGCTCTTGTCATACTTCCTACCGAGAGAGAGAGAGGGTGAGGAGGTTTATTGATGGTCTTATTCAGCCAATTCGCCTTTAGATGGCTAGGGAGGCTGGGAGTGAGATCACTTTTCAGGAGGCAGCCAATGTGGCACGTAGAGTGGATATGGTCCTATCGTAGGGAGGTGGTCATGGGTATAAGAGGCCCCGTCAATCAGGTAGATTCAGTGGTGCCTCGTCTGGAGGCAGAGATTCATATGGTAGAGGCCATCCTCCTAGGCCCTTTCAGTCAGCTCTTCAAGTCTTTCACGGCGCTTCAGGTAGTCGTGGTCCGCAGATGTAGTAATCCAATTAGTAGTCTTACAGTGCACCACCAGCTCCTATCAGTGCACCGCCGCTCCAGAGTTTTCGGGATGGTCATTCGGGTCGCCAGTGTTAGTCTCAATTTCCTCAGCCACAACACTCAGGTGAATATTTTGAGTGTGGTGAGTATGGTCATATCAGGAGAACTTGTCCGAGGTTGGTGGGTACTCAGTCGCAGCAACAGGGTTCCCGTGCTATGGTCCAGGCACCAGGTGTTTCACAGACCACCCAGCCAGCTAGAGATGGGGGTAGAGGTTCTGGAGGTGGAGGTAGAGGATTTAGAGGTGGAGCTAAGGCCGCTAGAGGTGGAGGCCAGCTAGCTGCAGGCCGTCCCAGAGATGGAGCCCAGCCCCGATGTTATGCTCTTCCAGCCAAGCCTGAGGCTGAGGCTTCAGATGCGGTTATCACAGGTACTATTTTGGTTTGTGATAGAGATACTTCAGTGTTATTTGATCCAGGGTCCACCTACTAGTATGTGTCATCTTATTTTGCACTATATCTGGTTATGCCTAGTAATTCATTGAGTGTTCCCATTTATGTGTCTACACCGGTAGGTGATTCTATTGTAGTTGATCGAGTCCATCATCCTTGTATTGTGGTGATTGGGGGTCCTGATACTCGTGTAGATTTGTT